CTACAGCTACATCTACAGCTACATCTACAGCTACATCTACAGCTACATCTACAGCTACATCTACAGCTACATCTACAGCTACATCTACATCTACATCTACATCTACATCTACAGCTACATCTACATCTACATCTACAGCTACATCTACATCTACATCTACATCTACAACTAAAACCAAAGCCAAAACTACATCCAAGTGTCAGTTCTAGTACTACGTAGTATCAGTGGCAGAGCGGTTCAGTTAAAGTTGTACTTACTGGGTTCAAGTCCCCATAAGATATGAAGTACTACTAGTATTAGGAGTTTATTCCATACTTACTGGAATAGTTCCCAACTAGTGCATATAACCGCAAGCTCATCCATAGAACTAGTTCATTACTTTGGCAACAGTAGATCAGTAGCATGAATTGGGGCAAGCACCTCTTCTGAAGAATGGACACATTCTAAAGAGGCATGCAGCTGGCTGGCCGAATGCAACAATCTCAAAAACAGCACTTTTTTGTAACTTGCCTCCGAAGGCATTCTTAAGAGGTATGCGGCTGGCCCAATGCAATGATCTATACATACCCAACTGCCATTGCTTGGATGGTTGTGTATGAATTGAATAGTACTACTCAATTTCAGCAGCATAGTAATCTCAAGAACCATAACCAAAAGTTCTTCAGCTTCGAACTTGGGTATGTTAGGATCCCCTGGGGCCTTCATACTACTATGCAATTTGAATCTTCACTTTGATGTTATTGTGCTTGAGACAAAGTAAGGTTATTATTGAATTGAATTTAATACTGATTCCGAATACAGTGCTGACATCTTAAACTTCCACTGCCACCGAGGTAGACCAAATTACAGTAGTACGGTACGAGGAACGAACCCTAATGAGGTGGAGAGGACAGGTCGTCCAGAACCAGTACAAATTTTACACGGATCAAAGGAGGTAACAATACACCTCATTGGGGTTCCCGACTTGAACCTGTCTCAAAATATTTTGTAGTACTAATTTGTAGGTAGTAGGAACGAGGATGCTACGATACTGCTGATATGGAAAACTCCTCTAATTAAAAAAAAACTTGTTGTTATGGATCCCCTTCTTCTTATTATAATGAAGTTATTACAGTATATTTGTGGAGGTATTTGTGGAGGAGAAGTGTCCCCAATCAGTCTGCCTGGAGGGTGAGACAGCCCTCATCATGCTGGTTTTTTTTTTACTACTACTTCCTCCGGTCCGCTAAGAGTGTCCAGTTTGCACCTTTACTACTGGAATAAGCCCAATATATGGCCGTTTCCAATGCTTCTTTTTTTGTTTAACAGATCAATTATAAATGTATACAAGTATATAGATCGTAGTAATTGAAAGTGTCTGACGTACTTGTGCTATTTACTGAAAGAGGGCAATTTTTTCTTATCAATATGAAAATACCGTCAGTTGGGTTCTACTGGTCATTTTGATACGCTGCTACTTGCACATAATAGCTAAGAGTGACACATTTTTGAGGCTGTAATTCTCTTCAGTATGGAGAACTTTCTTCTATCGGTCATTCTTGTTCAAAAGAGGTGCCCGGTACCATTGTCAATATATTGTTTCCCATGTTAATAGACTGTTTAATTTCATGTACAAGAATAATTTTTATTCGCGTGCATGCACCTTTTTAGTTTGAGTACTGATTCTACGTGTTGTACACAGTCATATTTTATTGGGGGTTAAATAAAACTATTGATAAGTGTTAAGTATAGACAACGACACTCTTTCAGGACCATCAAAATAGGGTTACAATGACACTCATAGCGGACCGGAGGAAGTACTTACTAGTAATAGTAAAAACTCCCTGTTTTTTTGTATATATAACCTGTTTAAAATTCGATCCACACATTAGGGTTCGTTCCTCGTACTGTACTGATGAGGTATCGTACGGTTGCAACGGTAACTCGAAACACAAGGTTCCCGTGGTTCCCGTACCGTATCGTAAATCGCAACAGTGTAGCTCGTGCCGTACGAGTCGATGAGTTTTGTTTCCTTTGTTCTTTCCTTCTTTCGTCTAGGCGCAACGCTGCCGAGCACAATACTACAAACCCACGCAGGGAAGAGTCGACTCTGTTCCCCGGTCCTCGGCAGCCGACCTTTCTGTTCTCTTGGCTGCACTGCCCGGGGGAAACCGGACGAATGGGAAGACGAAAAACAGAAAACAAACTCTTTGACATCCAGATCGGATCGGATCGGATCGGATCGAGGGAAGGAGTTGAAGAACGAGCCCATCCTGGACACAAGCACACACTGTGCTTGCTATCTAGGCAGAGCTCTGCATTACCATCGCACAAAAGCAGTACTACAAAATGCGCGTGCGACTCGTCAAAACAAGATAGTTACTGTATTCGGTTTCGGTATTTGTATTCCTACTACTCCTAAAAACAGAAACAACACCAACATCTTCCACCGCGGAACCGATCCATATTCCACGGTGCCGCGGGCCGGCCGTGCCCAAAAAACAAGGCGGTCCGTCTTCAAAGGACGGCGGCATCGCTCTCGTTCTCGGGAGTCACCCACGGCGTCGTGTCGTCCAGGAGGGCGCGGTGCCGCTTGCGGGACCGGGCGTACACCAAAAGGGACACGAATCCACCCATGACCGAGGCCACCGAGAATCCAATGGTCCAGGGGCTGACGGGCACCTCGCGCTGCAGGTCCGAGGCATCGATCTGCTCCGAGGGGGGGCTCCCGCTGCCCGGGTCGAGGATGGGCCTCGGGCTGACGAGCTCGACGTCCACCACCGTCGGGATCGCCGAGGCGTACGCCCCGCTCTCCATGGCCTCTTCGATGGCAAGGTAGGCACCGTACGCAGAGGCGTCCGTCTCGACGGGGCCCTTCACCCACACCACAAAGGTGGTTTGCAGGACAAAACAGTCGTTTCCGGCGTCCACGGTGGGTTCGCAGGTGGCTGCCGGCCGTCGGTGCGCACGAAACGAAACAAACCGCAAGAAAGAACGAAACAAAGGCATCAGATTGGATGCAATCCAACACGAGACACTCGATACGGAAGAAACCCTCTCCGCACGTTCAAAGAAACGAAAAACACATCGCTTGCTGCTTACCGTCGGCAATCTCCTCCGTGTTGGGAGATACTCTGCCCCTGGTATCGGGGTTGCACCCGAAAATGGCAAGTGTCGCGGTCCGGATCAGGTTGTCCACCAATTCGGCTTCAAAGACCTCGGTCGAGTTGCTGGTGCTCTCGACGTTGTAGCTCACGTCCAATGGTACGGGAGTCGCGCTATTGTCCAAAGGAGACCCCAGCTCAATGGTGTTTCCTGCCAGGCCGCAGTCGGAAAATCCGGCTTCGCTCACGGAAACAGTGGGTCCTGCCATGGAAGGGCTGCCGGTTGGCTCCTCCTCCGGCACGGCACCGGAATCGCTGGGCGAGATCGGGGCCGGAGTTGGACGCACAGTCGCCGGAGAAAACGTTCCGAGTGCCGGAGGAAGACTTCCAATCGCCGGAGGAAAAGTTCCGACCGGGGGGTTCGTTGGCCCAGACGGCAGAGGTGGAGCAGTAGGCAATGCAAACGGAGGTTGAACCTGGGGTGGATCGGACACAGCGGGTGGGGTTGTGGCAAAGGGCGCTGCGGTAGGACTAAGAGGCGTGGTGGGACTCGGAGGCGCGGTGGGACTCGGGGGTAGGGTCGGGAGCGCCATGCTCATAGACACCGACAACGAAAAGCTCGTGTCCAGTTCCAGGACGACTCGGTGTGCCTCCCAAAACTCGAGCGGGCTACAATGGAAAAATATACAACGCATGCGATCAGTGAGATGCTCAACAATCGGAACCATCGCAAGGGGCAGCCGACTTCGTTTCGTACCTTTCTTCCGCAATCGTGTCGACCTGCCTTCCGCGCTGGACGAATTCGTGTACTCCTCGATGCTCTCGTTTTGGAACATTCGCGTGGCTCCGATTCTTTCGAAGCGCTTTCCATCCTCTGTGCCCGTGAACAAACCCACCGCATTGAAGAACAACAAAGGAATACAAAAGCTTCATCGTAGGATAGTATGATTTTCTTTCAACGCGAACTTAAATGACTCGAAATCAGAGCTTTCAAGTATTTGATGTGATCGTTGTGGAGAGAGCAAGAGTCCTTCCCAAGGAGGCAATGGAATGGATGCGGTAAGCAACGCTTTATGATGTTCTGGTTGCGGCAAATTGTCTTTCGTTGTTGAAAAGTGCAAATACGTTGTCATGATATTAATGTGGCACTTCTCTTAACACACTTTTCAGCACTTCTCCAACTGCCAAATTCACTCTCCCGCGTTCTTTTTTGTTCCCGTTTGAATAGGTCTCCTTCTCTTAAGAAAAAAATCAAGAGAGCTGGTTTCATCGGTGAATTGAAAAACAGTTTCTCCGTTTGCATTCACGCAACCGCCTTTTCCAACTAGCGGCGTACTGTATTTCCTACGCAAATTAAATTTGTCGTGGGGTTGAAAAATCTTCCAACGAACACCCAGTACGTAGCGTCGTTACAACGGCTGTCTCTGTCCAATAATATATGTGGGATTGATGTTTTAGCTGGCAATTCGTTGATTGATGAAACCACTGCGATCGACTTTACTGTACTTGTTTTCCTCTCGCTTCTAGTCGATGGCCAAACTAGGGACGACTCCCACCGGTAGCGGTGAAAATTTCAGAATTTAGTGAATACTGATACCGGACGTACGTACGTACGTACCGTACGGTTTGATCGACACTTGATCTTGCCTAGAAATACTGTCGTGCGGGTTTCGAAGTTTTATCGAATAAATAATTAAAATTACTTCGTAGAAGATCGTACTTGTAATTGCTTTAACACGTACACTCGTGTGTATGTGGTGGTCCTATCATTATCAAGATACATGGTACGTGTACGATAGTAGCTTTTACCAACAATAATCATTGTAGAAGGGTACGGTACGTACCACTTGTATGTACTGCTAGCAGATAGTATTCATAGTTGTGATTTGCAAGGCTTGTTCTTGTTCACACCTTCAGATGACATTGAGACACATTTCTTCCAAACCAAAGAAGTACAAAAATGTACCGGTACCGGTAAAGGAAATCGGAAAACGTCGTGTTCGCGCACGTCAATGATGACGACGAATCATCTTCGACGGCATGTTGTACCTTCCGGCTACCTAGTGAATGTACGAGTACCGTATTGAAAGCGAAAAAAAATTACAGTGGTACAGTAAACTACGAACCGGTACTTGGACCCAGGGGTCGTAAATTTAGAGGGGTGCTCGTAGCGATGTTGTGTATCACGAAGTGTGAGAGAAAAAAGAGAAACTCATCTTCCACGTGTGGTCCAAGTCCCCCAAGGATTTTTTTTTCATTCTCATTTTTACGAAGTTATGACCCCTACTTTTACCATCGTATCCCAAAGTGTGATGACAAGCACTCACGCTTTTATTTCGCTTTTCAAGTATTTTCATACGTACTGTATTGTTCTTTTTGATTCTTGGCGCCACTTTACCAAAAGGAAAGTGATAAAAAATGTATCATTTTTTTGTTTAGTGCAAAATATCATCAGGGCAGCCGGGTGAAGCATAAAGAAAACAGATTTTCGGAAGCTCAAGGAAAACATTTATCAGTATCACTATCAATACGGTATTGAACCTCAGATAAAACTCTTTCGACTCATTAACCAACAGTTCTCAGAAGCACAAATAAAATAGATTTCCGAATGTCTAAACAATTTTGGTTCACATCCAGGAACACTTTCTGAACATCTCGTTTTTGTCTTTGGACGTAGGAGCATAGATAAATCAGATTTCTGGATGTCTACANACAATTTTGGTTCACATCCAGGAACACTTTCTGAACATCTCGTTTTTGTCTTTGGACGTAGGAGCATAGATAAATCAGATTTCTGGATGTCTACACAATTTTGGTTCACATCCAGGAACACTTTCTGAACACACATCGATTTGAGTATCAGTATCAGTATCAGTATCAGTATCAGTATCAGTATCAGTATCATTATCAGTATCAGTATCAGTATCAGTATCATTATCATTATCATTATCATTATCATTATCATTATCATTATCATTATCAGTATCAGTATCAGTATCAGTATCAGTATCAGTATCAGTATCAGTATCAGTATCAGTATCAGTATCAGTATCAGTATCAGTATCAGTATCANTATCAGTATCAGTATCAGTATCAGTATCAGTATCAGTATCAGTATCAGTATCAGTATCAGTATCAGTATCAGTATCAGTATCAGTATCAGTATCAGTATTAGCATTAGCATTAGCATTAGCATTAACATCAGCATTAGCATCAGCATTAGCATCAGCATTAGCATCAGCATTAGCATCACTATCATTCTCGAGACATGGTTTTTGTCTTTGGACGTAGGAGCATAGATAAATCAGATTTCTGGATGCTTAAACAGATTGTTTCATCGCGGTAAGGAGAAGATGAAGAAGATCTTGCAGAAATCAACCAGAACCGGATGAGGTCAACAGCACCGAAACATTGATAACAAAGAGCATCGTTGGAAAGGGAATGGTTCCTTTCATTCCATCCTTCATCTCACAAAACCAAAAAGCAGAGCTTTCAAAAAGCAAAACAAAAAACATTCCAATATGAAATTCTCCAAAATCGTCGTCGCTGCCCTCAGCTTCAACTATTCACCTTGGTTTGTCCAAGGAACTGATAATAGTAAACCTAAGGTAGGACCGTGGGAGCTCCATCCAATCGGTAACGATGACACCAGCACCAAATTTGCTGTTATAGACACAGGTGATGGAGCTGATCCTATGATCGATGTTGTTCTCCACGTTGAAGGAGATTTTGGTTCTACACCAACGATTGAGGTGTTTACAGGAGGCAAAGAAAGCGAGGCGTGCGACCTTGGAAACAAGATTTTGGATGGCCATGAAGGCTACACCTATGAATTTCAAGGACTAATGTCTGGTTCAGCTTATGATGATTTGAGAGTTACGAGCGATGGAAGTATTGGTACGTTAGGCCATTGGCGACAAGGAATAGCTTTCTGGTTAGGCCATTGGCGACAACGAATAGCTTTCTGGAAGGGTGTTTGTATGGGTGGATGCCATGAAATTTAAATTAATCCTCATCATACTCTTCCTTTGTGCTTCCATTGTACTGTTGTTCTTAGGTCAAGCTGAATTCAAAATGAAGCTACACGATGAATTAGCCTGGACAAAGAAAAATTCAGACAACCCAAAAAATGGTACTTTTAAGGTATGTGCTCGGCTTTCCAAGAAGCACGATGGCAATGATGTCTCCTTTGTTGATACATTGATTAAGGTGAACGTCAATGCGGAAGGGAAGTTCCAGACAGTTGAGCATGCCATTACGGTTGTGGGCACCAGCATGAAATCATTGGAAGAGAGTCGAAGAAAGGAAATTGGTATGGAATCCTATCTGTGTGGTCCATCTGATTCAGGAAACCCAGAACACTCCTACAAGATTGGCCAGAGCTTCTCCATCTGCGTTGGTCCTACTGAGGCAGAGAAGAATAACTATGACTATATTGCCGTGGTTGGATTTAAAGAGGTTACATGTGCCGAGACAATCAAGGTGGTGGAAGACGGACAGGTTGTCAGTGCTTATCCCGAAGGTTACAAGAAGGCTGATGGCAATGTTGAATCGGGCCTTTCGTCTTTTGAAACCATAGTGACTCCCAAGTATTATACTGGACTCAATGAAGCTTCGATCACGTGCTCAGGCACGGTGGAGCTGAGCTTCACCGACCCAACCCCCCCAGACCCAAAGTACACGAAGATGGGATGCATCTCACTTCAATCTCAATCTCAATATATTAAATCCCCCCAACTTTTATCCTACACTGTTGGGACCGAAGATGACGTGAAGCAATGCAATGATCATTGCAGTGCTTGTTGGAGTTACTTTATTTTGGGTTGCCCCATGCAAGGTGGCCAATTTATATGTTATTGCCTCATTAATGGCGATGGCGTCGAGGTAAGCAGTGAGACATGCTCTGCTTCGAAACCTGGTAACACCAACCCGTCTTGTTCATTTGAGAACGTCAAAAACAGTGCGTATGAATTTGGTCTCGGAAAGTCTATTTTTAAGTATCCGGCCTACAAGGTGACCACTCGTCGCCGATTGACTGCCAGCTTCTCGACCAACAGCGGCGATCTCTTGCAGCGCCACCTCCAAGAAAGCGGCAACCAGGCGGACACCAGCGKCTCCTTTGGCACGGAGATTCTTCTCTCGCGAGAGGAAAACGCCGATGCCGCCTTTGGCGGCCTTGCAGCTCCGGCAGCAGACACTGGTGGAGTGCCACCAAGCACCGTGACGGCAACCGCCGTGGGTGCCGTTGTTGCTGCCGCTGCTTCCCTGGTCCGAGCAGCCAACAAGCTTGAACCGACACCAATATTACGCAAGAGAGAAAAAAACTGCATATTCCCATTACCAACCAATACATGTTCAGGAGCCAAAAGATACACGGCTGCGCTGCCCGGCCTGCCCATTAAGGCGTAAAATAAAAGCAAAGAAAAAACAAAAACTGCTATCCAGCCGCCCCTTGTGGCGTGAAACAAAACAAAAGAAACACCAAAAAACCAGTTGCATGTTTATATGACAAACTAAGCGTGAGTGCTAGTTGAAACAGTACCGTAATTATTAAGTTCTTAGTAGAAGTTTGTTATGAAGTGAAAATACAAGAATACCGTAATCNCGTCGCTGCCCTCAGCTTCAACTATTCACCTTGGTTTGTCCAAGGAACTGATAATAGTAAACCTAAGGTAGGACCGTGGGAGCTCCATCCAATCGGTAACGATGACACCAGCACCAAATTTGCTGTTATAGACACAGGTGATGGAGCTGATCCTATGATCGATGTTGTTCTCCACGTTGAAGGAGATTTTGGTTCTACACCAACGATTGAGGTGTTTACAGGAGGCAAAGAAAGCGAGGCGTGCGACCTTGGAAACAAGATTTTGGATGGCCATGAAGGCTACACCTATGAATTTCAAGGACTAATGTCTGGTTCAGCTTATGATGATTTGAGAGTTACGAGCGATGGAAGTATTGGTACGTTAGGCCATTGGCGACAAGGAATAGCTTTCTGGTTAGGCCATTGGCGACAACGAATAGCTTTCTGGAAGGGTGTTTGTATGGGTGGATGCCATGAAATTTAAATTAATCCTCATCATACTCTTCCTTTGTGCTTCCATTGTACTGTTGTTCTTAGGTCAAGCTGAATTCAAAATGAAGCTACACGATGAATTAGCCTGGACAAAGAAAAATTCAGACAACCCAAAAAATGGTACTTTTAAGGTATGTGCTCGGCTTTCCAAGAAGCACGATGGCAATGATGTCTCCTTTGTTGATACATTGATTAAGGTGAACGTCAATGCGGAAGGGAAGTTCCAGACAGTTGAGCATGCCATTACGGTTGTGGGCACCAGCATGAAATCATTGGAAGAGAGTCGAAGAAAGGAAATTGGTATGGAATCCTATCTGTGTGGTCCATCTGATTCAGGAAACCCAGAACACTCCTACAAGATTGGCCAGAGCTTCTCCATCTGCGTTGGTCCTACTGAGGCAGAGAAGAATAACTATGACTATATTGCCGTGGTTGGATTTAAAGAGGTTACATGTGCCGAGACAATCAAGGTGGTGGAAGACGGACAGGTTGTCAGTGCTTATCCCGAAGGTTACAAGAAGGCTGATGGCAATGTTGAATCGGGCCTTTCGTCTTTTGAAACCATAGTGACTCCCAAGTATTATACTGGACTCAATGAAGCTTCGATCACGTGCTCAGGCACGGTGGAGCTGAGCTTCACCGACCCAACCCCCCCAGACCCAAAGTACACGAAGATGGGATGCATCTCACTTCAATCTCAATCTCAATATATTAAATCCCCCCAACTTTTATCCTACACTGTTGGGACCGAAGATGACGTGAAGCAATGCAATGATCATTGCAGTGCTTGTTGGAGTTACTTTATTTTGGGTTGCCCCATGCAAGGTGGCCAATTTATATGTTATTGCCTCATTAATGGCGATGGCGTCGAGGTAAGCAGTGAGACATGCTCTGCTTCGAAACCTGGTAACACCAACCCGTCTTGTTCATTTGAGAACGTCAAAAACAGTGCGTATGAATTTGGTCTCGGAAAGTCTATTTTTAAGTATCCGGCCTACAAGGTGACCACTCGTCGCCGATTGACTGCCAGCTTCTCGACCAACAGCGGCGATCTCTTGCAGCGCCACCTCCAAGAAAGCGGCAACCAGGCGGACACCAGCGKCTCCTTTGGCACGGAGATTCTTCTCTCGCGAGAGGAAAACGCCGATGCCGCCTTTGGCGGCCTTGCAGCTCCGGCAGCAGACACTGGTGGAGTGCCACCAAGCACCGTGACGGCAACCGCCGTGGGTGCCGTTGTTGCTGCCGCTGCTTCCCTGGTCCGAGCAGCCAACAAGCTTGAACCGACACCAATATTACGCAAGAGAGAAAAAAACTGCATATTCCCATTACCAACCAATACATGTTCAGGAGCCAAAAGATACACGGCTGCGCTGCCCGGCCTGCCCATTAAGGCGTAAAATAAAAGCAAAGAAAAAACAAAAACTGCTATCCAGCCGCCCCTTGTGGCGTGAAACAAAACAAAAGAAACACCAAAAAACCAGTTGCATGTTTATATGACAAACTAAGCGTGAGTGCTAGTTGAAACAGTACCGTAATTATTAAGTTCTTAGTAGAAGTTTGTTATGAAGTGAAAATACAAGAATACCGTAATCAAGTACCGGTACGTACAGAACGAAGTACGAACTTCGTACGTACTCGTGGTAGTTCTGTACTCCTATTTTTTGGTCACTCGCCCCATTTCATTCTAACCTTCGACGGTATCTGTAGAACAGAAAATGATAAAATTCCTTCGATAAAACATACTGTGATAGTTTGTTAATCAAAAGTATGTAGCTTGTTAAGTACGAACATAATAGTGCAATATCGTAAATATAGTTAGTCGCTATTGCAAATTTAAACCAATGAAAATCACTCATGATCAGATATTGACTCTACATCTTGATGTTTCAAATGGATTTGAAATCGTTTGCAAAAAAATTGGTAGATTGGTGCTGTTTGGTCGTCAAGGAACCAGGATGACACCGAAGATGTCAAAGAGAACCTTCAACGATTCGTGGCTGACACACGGTACGAGTACTGTACTCGTCAAATGCAACTACTACGGATATCATAACAAGTGATCGCCACACTAAGAAATTGGTTCCCATCGTTATTTTAATGGTGCCATCCTTAGCCCAGTAGAACACAGTACAAAATGTACTGAGGTAGTTTGCAACTATTCTGGTGGCRGAGAACCAATCCAGCTTCTTTCTCAGAAGGCAAAACATGCCGAAAATTTTGGGGAGCAACACTCAGTAGAGCTCTGTAGAATTTGTACTGAAAAAAWTAAGGATGGCATCATTAAAATAACGATKGGAACCAATTTCTTAGTGTGGCGATCACTTGTTATGATATCCGTAGTAAAGTTGCACTGCCATTATTGGTCCGCGGGCTACGCCCAAATGTACTACATAGGCCCTAACCCCCCAATTGACCGGTACCATACTTGGTACCACTATTTTTGCAACTGTAATGACTCTTTTGTGTGCAAAATTAAGACGCAAAATTGGTACTGCATATTTTCCTGGGGTTGTTGTTTCGTTGCCTCAGAGGTGCATTTTCATCCCTTGAATACTACGTGAAAATGCAACAATGCAACTGAAATCCGGTCATTGGCTCCGGTATTGGATGCATGGAGGTGCAAACTAATAATTTTTGATCACTGTTTCTTTCTTGTCTATACGGAGGATGATGCTGATACGGAGGAGGCTGATCATACGGAGGCTCACTGATACGGAGGACGCTCGCTTATATGGAGATGCTGATACGGACGAGGATGCTGATACGAGCCGCTGATACGGTGGCCGCTGATACGGTCTCCGCTGATACTACGGTCTCCGCTGATACGGTGGCCGCTGATACGAGCCGCTGATACAGAAGCTCACTGATACAAGCCGCTGATACGGTGGCCGCTGATATGGTGGTGGCCGCTGATAAGGTGTCCGCTGATACGGTGTCTGCTGATACGGTGTCCGCTGATACGGTGTCCGCTGATACGGTGTCCGCTGATACGGTGTCCGCTGATACGGTGTCCGCTGATACGAGCCGCTGATACGAGCCGGTGATACGGAAGCTCACTGATACAAGCCGCTGATACAGTGTCCGCTGATACTACGGTCTCCGCTGATACTACGGTCTCCGCTGATACGGAAGCTCACTGATACGAGCCGCTGATACAAGCCGCTGATACGGTGGCCGCTGGCTGATACGAGCCGCTGATACGGTGGCCGCTGGCTGATACGAGCCGCTGATACGAGCCGCTGATACGAGCCACTGATACGGGCCGCTGATACGGAAGCTCACTGATACGGAAGCTCACTGATACGGAGGCTCACTGATACGGCTCACTGATACGGAGGATGCGGATACGGAAATGCTGATACGCAGGATGCTGATACGAGTCGCTGATATCATGGAGGATGCTGNCGAGTCGCTGATATCATGGAGGATGCTGGTGATGCGAGCCGGTGATACGGAGGATGCTGATACGAGTCGCTGATATCATGGAGGATGCTGGTGATACGAGCCGGTACATACTTGCTCGCCGTGTCAGAAACGAAAGAAAAGAGAGGTGCACGAAGAATTTTGTTTAGAAGTTCAATATTCTATTACGTACCATATGGTACTCGTCCTTGTACCCGAATCAGGGATGTGATCTTTTTTTCGTTGGGATTCTTGCTTGAATCAAAAGAAAATTCGAGCGTAGGCACGAGTATTCCGTATCCCACGTACAAGAATCCTACCTTATTAGAGGATATGTGATATGTGGTTCGAGTACTATTCGCATGCGAAGTATGAACGCTTCTTTTTTGGCATCGATGGACACGCATCGCTATGTTGTACAGTACCGTACGAGGGTTAACGAACAAGGCGAATTGTTGCTATTTTATGTATTCAAGTACTTCTAATAAATTATTGTGACTCGAGTTAAAAGTTTTTCTTGTAGCTCCATTGCACCTGCAACCCTAGTAAAATCGCCCTGGACAATAAATGGTGCGCTTTGGGCGTTCGATTGGTGCAATAAATATCGAATCGTATCGTATCGTATCGTATCGTATCGTATCGNATCGTATCGTATCGTATCGTATCGTATCGTATCGAACCAAATCAAATCGAACGAGCGAGTCATTTAGAGAAGAGGAACAGTATCCGCATCGCTCGACTACGCGGCACGCACGTCCACTGTATATTGTTAGTTCTTCATTTGATTTGATTGCATGAAGTCTTTCACTCTACGGAAGACGAAGACTATCGTGCGTACGGCATTGCCTTGCGCAGGAACACAAGTCGATTCTTTCGGTTCCGTCTTGTTGGCCTTTTGCCCTCGTGACAAGCTGTTATGTTGCGTTATTGCTTTTCCGGTGTCACGGAACCAATAGCCTGGACCCTAGGTATTCGTGCAGATCCATAATGTTTCCCCTCTTGACTAGCACCCTTTGCACAATGCGACCGATGGAGGGGAGATTCGTATGGACAAAGCACTCGGCGTCGATATCGATGTGGCCCACCGTTTCTACGGCAAAGGCCCTTATGGCGGAAGCCCCCTCGCTGGCGGCGAGTGCCTGCAGGGGAATGCTCTGGTATTTGACCCTGGTTCCCGACAGTCCCTTCGCATCAATCCTCAGCAGGCGCAGGTTGGTGTAGACCCATAAATCCCGGCCCTCCCGATACGCCTTCTCGACGGACTCGCCGCCGAGCAGTACCGGGGCTGGATTGCCGTGGAGCCTGGTGTTCGCCAGGCTCGGATCTTCTTCCACCGCCATGTCCACGATCCAGTCGGTAAGGAATCCCACACCGGCGGCATCGGAATGGTTTGTTGCTGTTGCTGTTGCCGTTGCCGCCGCTGCTGCTTGCACCGGCCGCGGCTCGTTGGAGGCGTTTGGGCCATGGCTGCAATAGTAGCTTGCATCATCGTTGCATCCGCCGCATGCATTCGGGGCGGATGCGGTGTCGCCGCCGGACACGGTTCCCGATCCGCCCAGGACCATCGCAGAGAGAAAGGTCTGGATTGCAAAAATGTCCGCCTTGCCCTTTCGAAAGTCCAGCTTGACCTTGGAAAGCGTCCAGTGGTTTTTGGTGTATAGGTTGACGCTGCCGTCGCGGTCCCAGCCACTGGTGCTCGCGGACTCGGCGGAAAAGGCCCCGACGGACCCATAGGGAATCGAAAGGTACTCGATCTTTCGGCCGGACCAGCCCTTTGTGTCGATGATCAGAACCCGGCGGTTGGTGAAACACGAGACGTCCCGGCCGGCCCGGAAGGCCATGGCCACGGTTTCGTCGTCCAGCAGGAGCCCGAGGTCGTCGTGGAGCGACCGGTTGACCTCCCCGGCATCGATGGTGCGCTGGTCCCCCCCCCACTTGGACAAGAGTTTTTCCATCCCCCGTTCCTCCGGGGCGGCCCTTGCGTTGGCGTTGGCGCTGGCGTTGACGTTGTCGGACGCGAACCATGCGAGCGATGCGCGGGTGGGCCGGCCCGCAAGGAAGAGCAGCCTCTGGTTGAGGTACCTCTTGAGGTGCAGGACGTCCACGAGGTTCTTGTTGAAATCCCATTCCAGGCAGGACATGCCCGGATCGGGTTCTTCTCCTTCTTCTCCCTCGCACTCGTAGCGCATGTCGGTGTAGATCACCACCTCCGCGTCGCGGTCGTGTTTCCCGGCGGTTTGGACGGCGTAGGCCAGGACGGAGGAGTAGGGAATCGAGGTGTATTCCACCTTTTTCCCGGTCCACCCCTTGGTGTCGATGTCGAGGATGCGCTTGTTGGTGAAAAGAACGAGGTCGCGGCGGCCCACAAAGGCCAGCTCGACGGATTCGTCGTCCTGCAGCAGTTTTGGGTGAGTCTTGTAGTTCTGTTCGACCAGGGCCGCGTCGAGGGGTCGGTTGTTCCCCCCTCCGAAGAGGGAAGGCCCTGGGTCGAAATGGCCCTCCCTGCGATCCACGGTTGGGGGGGGGTTGGCGCTGGAAGCGGAACCGCAAGCGGAACCGCAAGCGGAACCGCAAGCGGAACCGCAAGCGGTCCCGCCGAGAAGCTTGTCGCAAAAGGACATCTGCACCGCAAGGACGTCCGTCTTGGTCTTGCGCAGGTCCTGCTTGATCTTTCGCAGGGAAGAAATGTTCGTGTGGACCACAAAGTCGGAGTTGAGGTCCCAGGATCCGGAGGTCTCCACGGAAAAGGCCCGGACGCAGGACCACTTGACCGACAGGAACTCCACCCTGGATCCCGAGAGGCCCTTTGCGTCGACCACCAGCAACCGCAGGGACGTCAGGAGCACCATGTCCCGGCGGGCCCTGTAGGCCGCCTCGATGGCTTCTCCCTCCACCAGGACCGGCCAGCCCGAGGCGCGGTCTGCTTTGCTCCCGAAGCGCTGCCCCGCCTCCACCGGATCGATCGAGACGGCGTCGTCCGCGATCCACGACAGGAGTGTTGACGTTGACGTTGAAAATGGTGTTGATTCTTCTTTGGCTGCTTTTGCTTTTGCTCCTTCTACTGCTCCTACTGCTCCTTCTGCTGCTCCTCCTTCTGCTCCTGCTGCCCCCCCAAAGACCTTGGCGTTGAAATATTGCTGGATGCGAAACAAATCCACGCCGCGCCGGCAAAAGTCGAGTTGGAAGGGCCCTTCGTTTCCATCGCCCTCGTGCCAGATCCGGAGCTCCGTGTCGGTGTCCAGCGACGAGGCTCCCGCGGTCTGCACCGAAAACGCCCTGATTCCGGAGTAGGGAATGCTCTTGTAGTGTTTGCGCTTGCGGCCCAGCCCCTTTCCGTCCTGGACCAGGACCCGGACCGACGTGAAGAAGGCCTTGTCCCGGCCTCCCTCCCCCCTGCTCTTGAAGGCGACTTCGATGGCTTCGGTCGGCAGCAACAGCTGTTCGGACTCGCTCCGGAGCTTTTCTTCGGCCCGGCTGGCCTCGATTTCGAAGTGGTTGTTGGAAAGCACCGAGAAGATCTTTCTGGCGTTGAGGACCATGCTGGATCGAGTTGGAATGGAATGGAATCGAATGGATTCGATTCGATCGCAATCGATTCGATTGCAATCGATTGCAATCGATTGGATTGGATATCGGTCGGCGTTGCTGTGCTCCGGATTGCTTGGATGGTTGCACAACGCTGTAAAGTGTAGGGTTGCACAGTTTTTGCGAGAGATCTTTGGAGGAGATCTGCGCACTTCGTGTGCAACAGAAATGAGATACGCTTCTCGCGTGCAAGGCAAGAAGAAGAAGGAATTTGATTTCATTCCATTATCGATTCGATATTCGATTCGATTCTCCCACCAAAGATTTTTTGTCCCGTTTCTTCCAACTACGTAGAGTATGGTACTGGACCCCTCGGTACGGCACCCCTCCCGTACGGTACGGTAGTACTCGTACTTTTATGTAGAGCAACTGTGGCGTCAAGCTCTCGAACCCTCAGTACCAAAACTCTCCACACGATAATAACACGGAGCTCAACAGAGTACATTTTCTGGTTACATTTACTGTATGGTACACCAGTAATCCAATTTTTGCTCGGTCGAGCACGTGTCGGAGACCCTAAGTAAATGAAAAAATGAGGTATTTAAATAGGCTCAACCGACACAAATGAAAGTGGTACTTTGGTACCACTACATGGTACTTCGGTACCATCTTCTTACTGTGTACTTCCAGTACGATGCTCTACTATCATCTACGGAGCTCCTGCTATGAGGAGTTGCTGAGGATATCAGTGTGTCGCTAATACGGANACTATCATCTACGGAGCTCCTGCTATGAGGAGTTGCTGAGGATATCAGTGTGTCGCTAATACGGAGGATGCTGATACGAGCTGCTGATACGAGCCAGCAGTGATACGGAGGATGCTGATACGAGCTGTTGATACGAGCCAGTGATACGGAGGATGCTGATACAGATGATGCTGATACAAGCTGCTGATACGAGCCAGTGATACGGAGGATGCTGATACGGAGGCTCGCTGACACGGAGGATGCTGATACGGGTGATATGGAGGATCCAGGGAGGGATAAGAGCCCATTCCCCTATATCGGAGGAGGCAGTGCTCGTAGTTCGGTTGCTGAAACAACGAACAACAACACTGATACTACGCTCCTCGCTCGCTGATACGGAGGATGCTGATACGGAGGATGCTGATACAGAGGATGCTGATACGAGTCGCTGATACGAGTTGCTGGTGATACGGACGCTGATACGGACCCGCTGATACGAGTTGCTGATACAGAGAACGCTGATATGCAGGACGCTGACACACACCACTTACAGCTCTTCTTCAAGAAAGGAGGCCAATTCCCATGGTCAAAGTGCAAAGAAGCCTTTGAAAGTGAGCTAGATTTAAATAATGAATACAGCAGCTGCAGCAGTTTTGCGAGTGAAATCCCAAAAAAAGCAGCACAGCACAGTAGAATGTGGTACAGATTCTACTGAATGATGCATTTTAAAAGTGGTACTTTGGTACCATCTTGTACTAAGCCTACGTAAATCACATAGCGATACAGGTTTTTTGTTGTTCCCTGGTGGTACCATCTTGTACCAGGCCTACGTAAATGATGTAGCGATACAGGTTTTTTGTTGTCCCCCAGAAAAGCAGCAACAAACAGCAGTCGACAATGGGAAATCAAGGGTCTCCTCCACTCTGCTCAACCTTGCAAGCATTGGATTACACAACTAACACCCCTCTCCTCTTGTCCTCCTCCTCGGCAAGTGAGCTGATGAATTTTGCTATAGGAACAGGCTCCTTTTGCTCGGCCGGGGGCCTCGAAACAGGAGCCTGTTCCTATAGCAAAATTCATCAGCTCACTTGCCTCGGAGTCGTACGATTTTGGTGGCACGTGCGTTCCCTAAAAGAAAATCCTCGGCGCGCCCGCCTCAAATTTTCTTTTAGGGAACGCACGTGCCACCAAAATCAGAGGATGGGGTGTTACTTTTAGTAACATCACTGAGAGCGAGAGCTTTAGCTCGAGATCAAAGTGAGGTTACTGCAAGTATCTTCAACAAGCTTGAGAGCTTAAGCTCTCAAGCTTGTTGAAGATACTTGTGGCGTGGGACCGATGCGATGCCACAGTTATTTACATAATTGATTGAGTAGCACCGGAATTACATGATGTATCCGTGCGCGCTATAGTACTAGGTTAAGAAGTAGTAGTAGTACTGAAGATGAATTACTAGTTTGGGTACTGTATTTACAACATGTACACCAACAATTACTACTTTTTATGCTACTACTAGTACTAGTAGCTGTAGTTGCACACATTGCACCGATACCCAAGCACCGCACTGAGGATATACATACACCACACCAATACACGACAAGAGAACAAGTAGTACTAGTAGTAGTGCTGAAGATGCCTTTGTTCTGGTACTGCATTTACAACATGTACTATTACTGATGCACATACAATTGATACTGATAGCTATAGCCAGCTCTACTTACTATAATAGTACTAATAATATTAAATGATAGTACAACTTTGTGAAAATAGACAATGGAGCTAGTAGTACTACTAGTACAGCTACAGCCTCAGCTACAGCCTCAGCTACAGCCTCAGCTACACCTAGAGCTACACCTAGAGCTACACCTAGAGCTACACCTAGAGCTACACCTAGAGCTACACCTAGAGCTACACCTAGAGCTACACCTA